AAGATGCCTAAAAGATTAGCCTTTTGCAAGTGATGTGAGCAGAAAAAACGCACCTTCAAGTCCTACGGCATAAAGAGGTGGAACGTCGTACTGTACAACATATTTTTCCTCGTACACCATCTGCGCTGCCTGCACCAACTGAGCGATGATCACCAGTAAATCGCCTGAAATTGGACTTGAGCAAACATTACCTGGCTCGCCGATCAATAGTAATACCGGAGATTATTGCGTTTGCGTCTGACGAGCTTTCCTTTGATCCGGCTATGAAGTCAGAAACACCGACCACTACTAATCCAGCAATGACTATGAATATGCCAACCCATTTGTAGGCGATCACCTTTCTGTGCAGGAAAGCCACCGATAGAAAACCCGTGAAAAAGATGACCGCGCCTGAAGCAAGGAAGCTCAGTTAAGGATTATACTTCAGTAACAAGTAGGTATGGTATTAGCACCTCTGAGCATTTGGTAACTGGAAGCATTGGTCATCGTGAGACCTGTAAAATTCAGACCTGAAGCTATCAGATCAAGTATGGACGGTATGAAGAAGATCAGGGGATTAAAGTAAATGTTCAGCCTGGTCGGCTCTTTTTCCGCCCCTTCTTCCGGCTTTTTGCGAGTGCAATGGAAGATCGATCGTTTCGCCCAAATGAAGAACGCCACAGTGCATATCGATTCTCCAAGAAACATCGTGTCCGCCTAAAATGAGGTGGAAAGTGTTAAAGCAGATATTTCATACCGCTTTTCCGTATGTGAAAAAGAGAAACTTGCACATTATCCACAAACTTCATAATTTCACATGCTTTCAAATGGGCATACAGCTTTATCACGCCTCGTTAAGAATAATGTGGCTGGAGCCAACTAATCGGTTTATCGGTTTATGATTAGATATTATTCACTCGTCAGTTGACCGAGGGATTTAATTTATCACAAAAGTCTGTAGGAGATTTCTCAACTCCCGTTACCGTTGTCATTTCATAACAAATTCTCCTGGTGAATCAGCCATCATAGTTATATAATCTACCAATCTTTGTCTTGGTATATGAGGAGTTTTAAGCGTAACAGTCATTCACGCATGTGAATTTATGGTAGGCATGAAGATACGGCCTTTACGCGGAGAGACAATGTTATTCGGTCTGATGTAAAACTAGTGAATGTGAAGAGAACTGGTGAAGGTGGATGTGTCTGAGCTTACAGAAGAATGCTCTCAACCGGCCAAGAGTCACAAAGCCGTACATGGAACATAATTGAACCGGGTTGAACGGAAATTGTCCTGTTGAACCTCCTGTTTAACAAGCCCATCCATGCTTTCGTACCAATGAAAGAACAGATGTTACAATGCGCATATGCAAAGCACGCTCTTCACAGATTATGGCGACAGTTTCGTCTTTGATATAATTTACAGTCATCTTGCTGTGCAAATCTGACATTCGGCTGTGGACAGATCGCGATGTTCCGTAGCGCGTTTACTCGTTCCAATCTGGTGTTTATTTATGATTAGTTCAACACATTAATTGCTTATTACGTTGAAGATTGGATTTTTTCTGCGACTCCGTATGTGCGGCGAAGACACTGAACATGTGGAGAAAAAATATAAAGGGAAAAAAGATGAATACCAAGAACAGGCTGTTCAAGTGGATCAAATTGACTAATTAATACTGAAGCTGGCATTCATAACTTCATGAATTTAGGATAAACGTGAATCACTGCTTTACCTGAATGTACGGATGGATGAAATGTCTTCCTAACGCGGATAGAGTGTCGGCCCACCTGAAAGCGAAATCGTTTCATTCTCGGAGTTGCAAAAGAACAGTGAAAATGCTACTTTACTAGCAAGGTGTTAACGCATCCGGTTAGTATGTACAACAGTAGCACAATCAGTAGCCATCCTGTGAACGATTTTTCGTTTTCTGGCATACTGACGATGGATGTAACGAGAGTTCAACTGGCTTCTTTCCCGTTCAGTCAGCGTGTCTAAAAGTTGCATCGGTTACTATTTTCCAACGAAGGTTCGTCGTTCTTCTAAGTTGTTATTCATCAAAGCACAGCAGCGGCTGTACGAACATCTACGCGTCGTCTATCATTTGGAATCAACAAATTTGGAACGATTTCCCATGTCAATAACGTCGTAGCATTTGCTTAGCTAATAGTTTAAATAGAAGAATTTCATAGCCATTATAATGTTTGCCTTAAGATCGTTGTTCTACCATATCTGATATAGCAAACACGTTATCAAAACAGCTCACGTAGCCATAGACAACGAAAACATGCAAAAACTGATTTCTCGAGATTTCTTGTGTTGACTTATTGCTGATTTTTCATGCGTCATATTATGTCTATATCGAAACTACTTCTAGCTTACTTGAAGTTGTTCCTTGTAAGTACAGGTGCTTTGTTAGCAGTATTATTTTAACAACGTCGCCTGATTTACTTTCAAACAAAATCAAGCGTTTAATGAAGCGTAATAATGCTAAGCGGACAAGTGAATGAACACATGCATTTATATTAAAAACTGTATTGGAAATATGTACAACAATACAGAAAATTTATACAATATTAAATTGTGTCAAGTTTACCTAGTCGCTAACTAACCCACATCCATAGAGTGTGAAACTGCGATGGACGATCAAAAATAGTCACTTTCCATAAGCTTGTCTACTTGTTTCTGAACCAATACTACAATGACATAGCAGGTGAAGCATACAGCTGCCCGTTTCGACGGCTGCCAGTTCTAC